GTGTCGTCCTGTTTGTGCCCGCCCATCTAGAGGCGGAGCCTCAAGAAGGTATAAAGGTTGCCCAGCTGCAGGGACCAGTCTCTGATTCTGATCCTGGCCATACTTGCCAACCCTCCCGATTTTCGCGGGAGACTCCCGATTTCATTGTCCTCTCCCGGTTTCCTCCCGGGGTCATATTTCTCCCGCATTTCTCCCGATTTCTGACAAAATCAGATTTACTCAGGACTGTTTCCACTCTGACTTTAATACAATTACACCATTGTTTGGTTTCCATGGTAACGCGTCTCTTTAGTAGCGCGCGCAACTGTTAGTCTGAGAGGGTGAGGAAGATAGTCACAGAAAACAGAACAAGAATCGACAACTCGACCCTCTACTCACTCCTTTCCTACAGTGCATTTACAACTACAATAAGCATGTTAATCCAGCTCTGGCGATCCACTAGCACCCTCCCCCCCCCACCGCGGTAGTTTTGGAAATGCTTCCGACAGCAACCTCAGCCTACAGCCTGTGTTAGGTTTGATGCACCCTCCAACATGCTACAACACCCTTCCACACACCCACACACTGCTCACACTACTGACAGTCTGATTCTTACGTACACTATTCATCAGAGGTGTTTTTCTTTAACCTGTTAAATAAACAGATATTTGGCATTTAACTCTGGGTGGCCTCCCTATGTGTTCCAGCCTTAAGGCAGGTTGTAACACATCTTCTCTTTTTTTAGATGCTCCAAGGTGGCCTTTTGTTCAGGCTTTCATTTCAAAGAGATGGTTTGTAGTTTTTTTTATTTCACTTCAATGGGATTTCCCCCATCTATGTAACTTTTAAATCTGCTGGCTCACACTGTAGGGCTGTCAAAGGTAGAAGAAGCACATCTGTGGGATGATTTGCAGTTAAATGGCCTACAGCAGGGGTGCCCAACCTTTTTTGAACCGAGAGCTACTTTTAAAGTTGCCAGTCTGCCGAGATCTACCAGTCCAAATAGAGAGGCGTAGCCATTACTGACAGCCTACTACAAGATACATACACACTTCTACTTGTATAAAACTGACCTTTGTACGATTAATACCTCGTAAAATACTGCAGATCCTTTATCTTACCTCGGCTCTTTCTAATATACACACATACAAGTATTTAACTGAAGTTACACAACAGTGTTGTTGATACAGAGTTGGAGTTTATTCACACGTCACATACTACAGTGGGTAATGTTTTCAAGAAACATTGAACAGTGCTGCCACATATGACTCAGGGAGAAAAGAAAAGACGCTGAACCCTTTCTTTGCCATTATATAGAAATAGTGTTGCTTCAAAAGTATAAATTAGGCTTACTAATAAGACAACTCAGATCTGAAGCTACACAGGAATCTGCTGCCAACGTGCAATAAATAAGAATTTTTTGTTGCATTTTAGTAGAGTATAAAAATAAATGCCTTTAATAGGATGCAAGCAACAGTTTCTTAACCTGAATTGATAATAGACTATAATCAATTTAAGTTTGCATTCTTATACCATTTTGTACAATAATTATAATGACTAAGTTCAAACAAACTAAAACTCACAGCTGATTAATAACGGTATCCAACTTGAGTTTTTATTATATCAAAAACCTGTTGAAATGCTACTGTTGTTGTTGTTGTTTACTGTCCCCAAAAGCGCGTCTGCAGCCTCCAGGAATGCTTCTTTCACAACTTCGCCATCTTTGAAAGACTTCATGTGTTTCGCAAGAACGTGACTGACACGATAAGATGCTATGGTAGCAGCCTTGCTCTTGTTGTTGGGCCTGGTGGAAATGGACTGCTGTGCATTTAGCTGTCCTTTCAGGCCCCTCCCCTTTTGGAGCGTAGGGCAGAATTAGGAGGGAGTTCCGTCTCGTAGCGTTTGTGCACTGTTTTGAAAATGCCGCTCCTAAATTACCCTTCTTCGATAAAGCCACGCTCGCATTGCAGATGACAGATGGAGTTTGAATTGGAATAGATAAAAATAATCATCCTCCCACTCGGAGTGAAAATGATATATTTTGGGCTCTTTTGCTTCTGCCATAATTGCGGTCTTGTGTGTGTGCGGACTGTCACTCCTGTTGACACGGACAATGTCACCGAAACTGCCCACTGCCCACCAGCCACGCCCCGACACATGGGGTCACGCCGGCCAATCACAAAGCTTTGATGCGTTCAAGTGCATTATTCTGGCACAGGAAGATTATCTTATAGGACATTAACGATAAAACAGAATATTGTTGTTCTATTTTTAGACACATCTCGCGATCGACTGGGAATCTCCCCGCGATCGACCGGTCGATCGCGATCGACTGGTTGGGCACCCCTGGCCTACAGTATGTTGTGTTGTCATCACACTGCAGACAGCCTGAATGTAAAATGCTGAAAACACAGCATTTTTATAATGATTTATATGTGATTGTTTCTACACAAAATCTGCCCTGTGTTTGTTGTTTTTATTAGGTAATACTCTTTAGATTTATTTAGTTGAAGCATCAACTCCTTGCACCACAAACTTCTTATAAACACCTAAACCCTTTAAGTCTCTCTCTCAGTCTATGTATGCAGGAGTGGTAATAGATGAATTTAACGTTCACTGACAGCCATAGTTTCATGCTTCGCTAACTAACACTATTATTTAAGACAGACTCTTGGATTGATGTTCCAATGAAAACCAGCCGCACATGATCAGATTCCTGATAGGCTACCTGGGGGAAGAAGTCTGTCATCCACATCTCACAGCCAATGGCATTAGCAGGCTCCACCACGCTGTGAAGCTGACTGGCTGGAGCCACAGGCTTTTCCGTTGCCCCTCATGTCCTCTATAACTAACAGGCTTTACTCCAGTGTCTTTGATCCATATTCTGTGAGCATAGAAGGTGCTAAACATAACCAAACAAAATTAAAGAGTGAAGGGCACTGAAGTGAACAGGCTGTCTATTCTCTATGTACTATGGTTAACGCTGGTGTATAAGCTGTGTGTTTCAGACAAGAATGTTAATTAGATCATGTGTATCTCTCAAGAACGTTGAATGCGTTTCAATCAAATCCTTATCTTGGGCAGATATTTCGATACTTGTAATTCCACCGAATTATAAACATGCATGGTACTTGAGAGAGAGAGCAGTAACATTGTGAATCTATAGGCAGCCAAGGAACCGGATGTATAGGATTTGCTTGTGAGAGGAACATAAACATCACTTAATATTCAACAGTATCTGTCTGGATTTCCCGAGATATATATATTCCTTCTGGAAAGGGATTACCACTTTATCATGGCAGGGCATTTTGCGAGTCACCATGACTAGTAAAGCTGTGTCGGCATAAGTCTTGTGTTGGGACTCCCATGCCAAAACAGGTCAAAGGCTAGAGGCTAGAGAGGCTGATAACCTTCTCCTGCCATAGCACATTATTAGAGGTACCAGAAGCGAAAAACAGCTGTGTTGACATTGATTTTAAGGCGGAAAACTGCGACAAAACTCAGGTTTATACTTGTATTTTGGGTTTCTACCTTTATATATACAGTCTATGGTTTCTACTAGAACATTTTTATATGCTTTCATTTTCAAAAAATGGGTTACCTTTGTTTTACTGTCTGTCTGAATATTCCTGTATTTACCTTCTGTCTCAAATGCTCAACTTTAGAGGTTGTCTGTTTAAGCCCCCCACTAGAAAAAAGGCAGGCTGCCCTGGTCGGCTTACAAGGAAATCTGGAAAGTTCTCAAGCCGAGGCATGTTGACACCCATGGTTTCTGACTGCACAGCCTTCAAAAAACTGACTGGATTGTTTTATCTCACAGTTTGTGTAGTAGGCACTCCAGATACCCACATGTTATAGCACATGCAATACAAAAGTGATTTTATTTGTGCCCTAATATATTTATGAAATTCTAAGGTGATGATGCAAAAATATTGCTGAATCATAACAACCTGTAGTAAGTTCAGGTTCAACTTTCTGCAACCCCTTTTGGTGGAGTGTGTCATACACAAAGCATTTGGACAGATCTGTGACCATGTAAATTAAAAACATATTCTGTGTCTTCAAAATGGCCTCATAGTATTAAAGTTCCTCTTTTATTTTAGCTCTTTTTTTGTGAATAGTTTGGTGCTTTGCAAGCTTTCAACAATGCTAGTTGTCTAACGCTAATGTATTGCTAAAACAACATCAACTGTTGAATTAAAGTTGGTCTTACAGTTGTGATGTGGTTTATAATGTACCCTTGTGGCTCTTTAGTAAGTAATCTGTGTTTTTGTAAATGTTGTTTTCTTTTAATTGTATAACTACAGGATATTATATTTGTACAACACCATAAGTGTAACATTGAATCTCTTTCTCTCATTACATTTCCGTTAACTCTTGTGAATGTTTTTGTCCAAATCTTTTTTTACAATTTTACAACCTCTATAGTGTTTACGCTCTGCACCAATTCATTGTTTCAGTGCTTCTAAAAAAAGTGTGGTCCGTGAGCGCCCCCTAGTGGTCCGTGAGTATATTGGTAACATTTCACATTTTAAATAAATAAATACATTTAAGTTTTCCGCACTCTCGTGGAAATATCTCCGCATTGGAGCAAGCTTAAGTTTCACATCCGATTTCGTGATATAGCCCAGCGCAACACCTTCATCACACATGTTGCCACTTGTTTGTACCATTTTCAGGCGATTTGTAATCTGTTCGAGAAAAACGATGTGTTTTTGGATATTTGTGGCCACGAGTGTTTTTTTATTGGTTAAGTGGTCCTTGGTATGAAAAAGTTTGAGAAACACTGTTATAGGTAAACAAAAACGTCTGTTCACTGATTACAAAATAAATCTACAAAGCTTTAGAGAAATAATAGAAGACAGCTTTTCCCATTATATGTAATTGAATTGTAATGAGTGAAGATACAATAGACAAAAATGTATTGCATGAATTAAATTCAAATCAATGATCATCAGAAAGAGAGAAAACTAGAGATAAAAAACAATTTATTTCTCCAAGGTACAGATGATATTGTAAATGATGATTAATGATTAACCATTTGTATATTATTTGCCATATAACATATTGATGTAATATGTCATTTTGATTGGACATATAAAATGAAAACCAGCATTTCAGAGGGTTTGTGTACGTTTGATTACAACTAAAAATGAGCTAGGAGTTTTTCGTAAACCAATGAGTGATATTTTCTCTTAACACTTGATCACAGAGGCTCAATATAACTGTCAAATCACGAATGAATACATTATGTAAACTGGTTTTAACGAGCAGTCTATCTCAAAGTGGGATACAAAGACTATTGATTTGTTGCCTCTGAGGGAAAATGAAGGGATCAGAGCAGCTTTTCTATTTGGGGAAGGTGTTTATTTTCAGCGAATGATAATAGACTGCTCATTGTTAAGTGTGATATTCGACTGCAACAGCTGTGTCACCTTCGAGAGGAGGTGTGAATTGGATTGCTTCTCATCTTCTAGTCTGGCCTGTACCGGCTGATACAAGTGGCCGCCTCTGTTCTACGGTTAATATGATTGACTGCTCCACTGTCTGTTGAATAATGTAATTGTCGGCAGCTATTTTGGTGAGGACGTGATCAGTGTAATTGGCAGTGGTGCATCCTTGGTCACGGTAGGATCAAGTCACCTCCAGCACACCCACAGCAGGCTCGTCGTGGAGATGCTGAGTGGAGCAGCCAAATTGCCGGGCGATGGTAGGCCAGCCACACCAGCAGCAGCGTCACCGTGACGATAGTGAAGCCAACCAACAGGCTAACGATGACCAGAACCAGGTCAAGCTCTGACGGGTCTGAAAACAAATAGAGACTCTGACTTGTTAGCACTATCCTAATGTTTTTTTGGGGGGGGGTCTCCAATTAATTGCAAATGTCTTTGATGGTGTTGATTATTACCAATTTCTATTTTACACAATTCAAGATTTGCAACACTCTTTGGATAAGTGCAACATGTTGGCCCAAAAGACAGAGGCATTCCAGTCCTTTTGTGGCTTAATACTCTTGTACTGTTTCTACTCTTCTCATTCCAGTATTGTGCGTCCTTGCGGAACAGAACGTATCCACAACTTTTTGATGTACAAAGCACCTTGGTGCATATGTTTTGCACATGGATAAACCCACGGAGAGCTACATATACAGTATATCTGCACATAAAGAGCCACTTATGTCTCATCTCCTAACATACTAGATAAATGGCATGGTCATTGCCCATTTCCTGCCCGGCAGCTCTCGTGTGCTGTTATCTCAGATTGATCGTTTTTGTTTTAAGGCACAGCTAATAATTACCTATCTCCCCAGGGAAGGTAGAATTATTCACTTCTCTCAACATAGGACCAAAGGATATGCGATTCCTGAGATTGGTCTCAGCAGCCTTTGAACCCTCTAAGGAAGATTTACTCCTCTGCTTTAGGCACTGCTATAAAAAGACAAAATAAATATGTAGCATTAGAAAAACAAGAGGTTACAGGTAATTAACCTGGAAGAAGGATGGTGTTCTTGTTTATCATCCAAAATAACAGAAACAATGCACAGAAATAGCAATTGAGATAATACAGGTGCACCTAAAACCTGTTTTACTTTATAGTATTTTTTATACTGATAAAAGGACAGCAGCAGAAACATCTATTTCAAATAGAGATGTAGGAATTTAGCTTGAAAGCAACATATGTTCTTTTAATCTAAGCAGCCCACTCTGAGTTGTAGCACTGGAAACAAGGTAGTTGAGAAATTACGCAAGAAAATAGCTTTCAGGAAAAATGTGTCAAAAAAAGAAAACCCCATTTTAAGGAATGAGGGAGAAATGATCAAAAGATGCATGTAAAGAAAGTTGCAGCCTATATAGAAGTTCACTCTTTTGGTATAAACTTGATGTTTGTTATACCAATTCATTACAAAACACTGTAGAAACCAACTGGGTTTAAACGTATCATTACGCACAGCAAAAAAGCCTGTTGCAATTAGAGAAAACATGAGGAAAAACTAGAAACCTCATCAGAGTGGTGTTGAAGTGCACTACAAAAGGCAGACGTCAAAACAAGTGTGCGCAGTTTATCTTCTGTCTCTTCCCTGACGTACTTCAGATGAGTCACTTTTTCCCATTAAATCAGAGACCTCGTTGCCACAACAGCCCAAGACAAAAATGTGTATTAGCGTCTTTTGATGCTCTTTAGTGTGTTCTGCAACTTTGCAAAGACACCACCGAGGTTTTACGCTGTGTGTATTTAGCTGTCAGCCTTCGTCTTGACTTCTTACTTTAGTCACATTCAGACTGCTGTTCCTATGGCTATGGCAGGATATTTTAAACACAATACACCCTCCCCTTATTCATTCTAATTCGGGAAATTATTTATAACTCCAAGCTCTACTATCATTCTTGGTCATGCATTCATTTACCTTCTCTCCATTTTCTCAATCACCTTGGGTTCCCTTCTTACTTGTCACCCCAGCCATTTACATCAGCCTGTTAGCTCCTCGTCTGTCTCCCTGTTTTCACAGTGTCACACCCCGTGTCACTAAATTTAAATCACTCTCAACCACCCATTCTTTCGTCCTCTCGATTCATTACACAGTGCAGCCGCTGCAGTCTTACCCTTTCACATAGAGAGCGGTTCCTCAGGCAGACACTGAGATCACAGTGTAGGTAGACTACTGAGTAATTAATCATTTGGAAGAGACTAATGGTGAAGCTGGAACTGGTTGACAGGGTACTGGGCAGCAGTGTGATCCACGTAGGCTCTGCTGCTAACCTGAAGCACCAACACAAACACAAAGGATAATGTTAGCAGAGTCATTTTTGCCTTGAAAGAAAAAGTAAAATGTCTGAGCAAGAATGAGGATATTCTCCAGACAAGGTCTCCATACAGCTGTCACAAGCAATTAAAGTTGTATTGATGAATAACCACGGCAGGCAGAAAGGCAGTTTGCCATCAATATTTTGTATTGAATTGAGTTGAAATCTTAAGAGAAAAGAAACCATGTTAAGTAAAGGTCAGTTTACACTTAATGTTCTTGTCAGATTAGAGTCATAACTCATGGTGCATGATGTGAATAAGTTACGTGTTTATATATTACCCATTATCATTAAGAATGTATTCATCAGTATGTTGATGGCGGGTTTACTTTTATAAATTCGGGCGGATGTTAAATATTTTACTGTTTTCTTTTCATTTGACAGGAAAGTGTTCTGTTCAGGTACAGGGTAAAAGTCAAATAAAGCCTATTCAAAGTTTGACATATTTAAGAGGTTGTGCATTTGTATTGCTGCCTCTCTGAGTCTGCAGGTGCACACTGAATTTCTATCTGCAAGATGCTGGCTCTGAGAGATAACAACCTATTGTATAGCAGTCCTCTTACTAAGCAGAAAATATTCAGCTTTTTAAAATGAACCTGCAACTCCCTGGTTTAATCTGAAATCCAATAACCTGGTTTCTCTAATAAATGTGTTTGTAAGCACTGGCAGTCTGTCCATGTTGTGTGAAGGCTGTTATAGAGGTTAGAAACGTTGCATTATTCATGGCCACATATCTATTATACGTTTATAGAAACCAAGAGTCCGATTTTTACCATTTATTTTGAAAGCCTTATTCCAATTTCTGCTACATAAGGCAGCATATTAAATACAAAAGGCAGACATGTTTGTTTTCTTTTTCATGAAATGCAGTCCAGATGGCCACACATACAACGGTGAATGTATTGTACATGTTACACTGCGTACATCCTGTAGACTGTATTTTCCCCAATTTCCTTGAAATAAAAACAAAGCAAACCCTACCCCTCTTAAAATAAACAACAACACTTCTTCCCAGAAACTTTATTCAGTACTTTCCGGTGTACCTGGAGAAAAGGCAGCAGGTGGAGTTGGTGGTGTCTGGCTGAATAGTTGGGGACAGACAACAGGAGGTGACCTTAAGGTTAATCTGACTATTGTTTGTCTTCAAGTTGATAACCACTCTGAGGTTGCCCAGGGCAGGCACAGCATCACCAGGCTCCACATCGCTCCCATGTTCAGACTCATCTCTGCTGTGTAGTTCCCACTGCCACACAGGTCATCTGAAAATTATGTTACACTGGCAAAAGATTCGTTTTATTTTAATTTGCAAAAGGAAACATTGTAATGTTCTTCCATTTTCCAACACACATCTTAAATTAAGGACCATACAGTACATTGAATGTACTTGTTTCAGGCCATACAAATCGGACATGTTCTATTACTGCTTACAATTGAAGAAATATGTTTTAGTCGTTTTTAAAGATTCATCACAGGCAGCAATTTATTTCCACAAAAGCAATGTCAACTCCATAGAATTTAAACTTGCTCGAGATATCTAATCCATCACAATGACTGATTTCACTGGCTTGTATATTTTGTCAAAGTTGAACAGGTACTGTTTCCAACAAGATGAATTTAAGGATGCTCTGAAATCCTATTTAACAAAACAAAATGTCAGCATGCTTACATACTCACAGTGACAATGCTAACATACTGATGTTTGGCAGGTAGTCTAAAGTATTTACCATGTTAACCTTCTTAGTTAAGCACATCAATGATTATGTATGAAAAGTTAACGAATAGATTCCAAGGGTGGCTAAAACATGACCAGATTATCATATTTTTTCACAACACCCACGTTTGATTCGTGTTTTTCCCATACTTTTGGTCCTCTTAAAGCTCACAACAGCCTTGCTTTCAAGCAGCATACTCACGCATGTTGGATTCATGTGTGGTCTAAATGAATCATCAGGCATTTGCAAAACTGTACCTAATCATAACTGCATTACCATGTGATGACAATATCAATTTAGGGAACATTTAAAGCAGATGGCTGCAATAGATTATCTATGTAATTGCATAACTGGAAGACAGCAAGAACACATGTTTTTTTCTCCCATTTGTTGACACATGATTAATAGATAATGCTAAAATAATAGTGTTACAAAAAAAGATTACCCAGAGAGGTAAAGATGAGGTGAGGTCCATCTGCTGTGCTTCTACATCTTAAACTGCACTGTAACTTTTATCCATGTATTTTTTCTTTTAATGTTTATGTTATTATCTTTTCTTTTTAATGACTGATTTTATATGCCATTTTCTTAATGTCTTTCGTTTTTTGTAAAGCACTTTGAATTGCCTTGTGTTGAAAGGTGCTATATAAATAAACTTGCCTTGCCTTGCATTAAAGGCTCTGACTCTGACTCTGCCAGTAACAGCCTGGGCCAAGACTCTTGTACTGCTGACTCTTCTGTAGCCACAGCATGCTCTGACCTGGTGGCATTTTGTGGCTGAAATATCTCAGCTTTGGCAGCTCCTCTATTTAATCTAGCTTCTTGTTTTTTATCAGTGACCTGTGTCCACTCAGTAGTCTTAACAGTGGTCTGTGCAGTAGTTGTTTCAGGTTCAGATAAAGTGACCTCTGTTGCAGCAGTATCCTGAGCGTTAGAGGTCTGACTGAGAGAGTGTCTTTGTGTTGTTTTCTCAGCAGAACGAGGCTGCTCAAGTTCCCCAAGTCCTTCCAAACGATCACTTTCAACAAGGAGTCTCAATGGTGTTGTTAAAGCTTCATCGGTCACTCTCTTGGCATTTATGGTAGTGGTTTTATCAACAGTGGCTTGGTCATGATCAGATTTACCAGTGTATGGTGAAAGTGCTGCATAGTGGAGGTTGGTGGCCAGGGGTTTAGCCTTTCCAAGTACAGGATTGTCATTGCTGTCATATTTAGTGTTTGTATCGGGGAGGTGCACTGCATTCAAATGATCTTCTTCGGTGTTTGCGACCTGTATTTTATACATTTTCTCTTGACCAGTTTGATCAATATCACCTGCTCCGATTGTTCCTGTCATGACACTTGACTTGCAGCCAATTCTACTACAGCTGGTTTTATTAATACTCTCTATCCCTGTAGGTGGAAGGGATTCAGTACCACTTGACTTATTGAGTTATTTGCAGGTAATCCTGGCTTCTTATGTTGGTCTGCTCCCTCCAGTGTATGTACTCCAGGAGTCATGTCATGAACAAGATCTTTGGCTTCAAACGTCTTCTTTGTTCCCAAGGTTGTTTTGATATTTTCAAATACAAAATGATCAATCCTTTCGTCAAGTGGACCTCCGGCTCTGTTGGCAGCTTTTAACAAACCTTCTCGGAGACTCTGTCCCGGGTCATTTAAACCTTGTGTTACTGCAATTATACCAGGTGGGGCATGCTGGTTTTCTTTGCTGACGTGGTCAGAAATGTCATGCTCAGACTGTTTTACACTCTGTGTTTCTGTTGTGTTTCTTCTCTTCACAGCAGGGGGGAGTTGGCCGGTAGTGTCGTTTGTGGGAGGCTCTCTCAGTGACGAAGGCTCGATACGGCTATTGGACTGTAACATACGCTCAGCATGTGCAGCCTGCTGAGATGACTTTTCAGTAACAACTTGCAGACCCTCGCTGGCAGTCAGCGCTGATTCATGAACTTCTGCTGAGACAATAAGATTTATTGTGCTAGCAGTTGGTGCCAGAAACACAAAATCATTGGTTTTTAAAGTGGTTATTTGAAATTCAGAAATAACTCTCAGTAAGCGGCCAGCAATTTTGACACTTCCAAAACGAGGAACCAGGAGAGCCCCTCATGGTGTAGAGGGACCATGCTGCTTTAAAGTAGTTTTTGCTGCATGGCCCTCTATATCAGGTAAAGCATCAGCCTGTATTTGGGGTATTTCTGACAGACTATCTGACTCAACGTATGGAGTAGTGTGAGTTCTATCCTGTGTGCCAAGCAAGGTTACAGAAAACATTTCTGTAACTAAATCTTCATTTATTGCCGGCTCAATCTTATAGGTGATTTGAATTGCAGGCATGATGGACTGAGTGATTGTTTCATTATAACCTCCTAGCAGGGAGACATCATTTTTCGCGACAGTAGTTTTCACTGTTTTGTTTATGTCATCTACTCTTAATAGTTCATTGTGGCTGTGGTTGCTTTTTCCTCCTAGGTTCTTATTCTGCAGTAGAGATGAAAGGTTTAATTTCTCAGTGTTACTGGCATGGTATTTACTCCTGCTAGTGGTCAGTTCTATAAAAGGAGAACTGTTCTTTTCATCTCTGCTCTCATTGTCATTCTCCTCAGTCTGAATTGTATCAGCCATCCCTAACAAGGACTCAGCATTGCCACTTACAATATGTGCATATTCAGTGCCGGCATTGGCCCTCAATATTTCTTTTCCTGCGGCTGATCTTGTTAGCCCTGTCAGACTAAAGGTGCCAGGTAAACTGTCATCTCCAAACAGCCAGGAGATTTGGCAGCGATGACATGCTGCTGAGAGGAAATTGATCATTCTTTTCTTTAGGGCTCATCAATGACATTAAGGTTTGCACAGATCTCTGCTTGTTATCGTCAACCGGAGCATGCAAAGCATCTGAATGGGCTGTCTTTTCTGTTCATTTAAATGAGCATGGCTGGTCTGAAGTCATTTCAAAAGAGGAGGAGGCGGACTGAATTGTCTCTGTGGCAAATTGCCTTTGGTGAGGTTGGCCTATGGAGGTGTGTTCCACAGATGACAAGGCCGCGGCAGTAGCTGGCCTACTAAATGAGTAATTAAACATCAGCTTAGTCCGAGCAGGATTCACTGAAGTAGATGTTATAACTTTCTCAGTGATATTAGATATTAAAGGGTCCTTGACACTGGAATCTATTATATGAGCTGGTATAATGTGTTCTGCTTGAAATGTTGCTTTCGTAGTCTCTAAAAGTGAATTTGCCTTCGAAACCAAACTACTTAATTTATGCTTATGATCTGAGATGCTGTAAATAATTAATACACTGCGAGTAGAGCTATTTCCTGTGAATTGGGTCTGAGCTCTCAGGACCTCTGCTGGGGTTGCCAATCATGGGGTGGTGAGTGACAGCATATTACTCACACTTTTTAGTACTGTGTGAGCTGATCTAGTTAAACTGCTTTGCGGAGAAATTGTTGGCTTCAATGCATTGCTAAATTTCAAAGTGCTAACTCCAAATGCTTGAGAAAGTTTTGGCACCATTTGTGTAGCCTCAACAACTTTTTTCGGAGTACTTTCTTTAGTTAGTGAAGACGCAGCTCCATACTGTGTAAGCATAGCCCTGTGGGTGGACGGATGGGATTTTTTCTCTGTGTATGGCTCAGTGGGAAAATATGTCATTCTTAATAGTTTAGGGCTCTGGGATCTCAGAGTTGAGTGCAGTGGTCTCTGATTGCTTGTCATTTTGTAGGGAAATTGATTACTCTTCATTTCTGCAATTTTTCCCCCCAGCTGAGTGCCCTTGTGCTCAGGGGCTCCCGACTGTTTAATCAAACTACAGCAGGAAGATACGTTTGTAACTGTGTGCCCTTTGTTAAATTCTCTAGAATGAGTAGTAGGTCCAAGGGTAACATATGTCATGTCTTCTCTAACAATTTCCCTGTTAAGCGTAATGTCTTCCTTGTTCACTGGTTCCTCTTTGCTAGCCTCCGCTCCTTCCCTTGTCAAAGACACTCTCTGATTTTCAGCTTCATCTATGGAGGAATTATTTGTATTCATTTTAGTCGTAACTTTTTTTTCGGCAGTTTCTTCTCTTCCCTCCCCTTGTCTTAGATATTTGTCTTGTTTTACAGTTACATCCTGCTCTCTAATGGTCCCTGCACTGTCCTTTCAATTAGGCTTGGCAGAATGGTCTTTCATTTTATCCTCCTCCATGTCTGTGTTTTGATAAATGTCTATTCCACTGTTATTGTTTTTTTCTTGTTTCCAGCTTTCTGTCTCTTCTGGTGTAAATAGCTCTCCTCTTTTGTTAGCCAACTTTTCCTTTTTCCTACTCTCTTCTTCCTGCAACTCTTTTGTCTCTTTAGTGTTTTCGCCATGATCGCCCTCTGCTTTCATTATCTCTTTGTCCTCGTCTTCTGCAAATACAGTTAACGCCTGCTTGTTTTTATCACCCTGCTTCAGATTGTAGTTTATTTGTGAATCTCGGATTAAATCATTATAATGATTTACAAAAGGTTGGCCTGTTGTTGGTGCAAAATTGTTATCACTGCTTATACCAGAGGTCCTCTCCTGAGTAACTTCTGATTGAGTCCCTAAAAGTCTGCTCATTGTCAGTCTCTCAGAGAATGACCTGCTAAATGGCATTGTGGGAGTCGACACTCCATCATCAAGGTCTTTTCGAGATACGGCAAGAAACAAATTCACAGGCACAACAACTTTTCTTGTTGTCAAAGTGGGAGTTTGTATTTTTTTCAAAAGCAGTTCATATAATTGCCCTGAGGGACCAACAAAATAAGGTTTAACAATGCTGTTGAAAGTGTTAAATGTTTCAGAATCCAGTTTCTCTGTCATCTATCTCTTTGTGGTTACAGATGTTAACTTGATGGCAGAATTATTTGGTGATAAAGTCCATATTTGTTCTTCGAGCTTAGAGCTTGCTATTTTCAGATTTTGGTTTCTCAACACAGATATCAAAGGATCGGCTCCTCCTGTCTGAGAGTAAAACTTGGGGTTTTTTAGTCTAAAAGAGGTTGGCTTACCAAAATGGTGCTACTGTGCTATGATCTTCAATCAACCTCATTCCTGCAGTTGGATGTGATGCAGTGCTCTGATCCTTACCTTCTGGTAAAACACTTTTCTGACTGCTGTGGGGAGCTTCAGAGATGTCGGCTGTATTGCTTGCCAACCCATTGCTGAAGTCCAAAGGCTGGTTTTGGAAAAATTCATTTTTGAAGTTTGTGGAGAGACTGTGGGAAGCATTTTTGTTATGCTCACTGAAATATATTGGTTTCGGGTCCCTGATGCTCACTTTCTTTTCAATCGTTTCTTGTTTCCTTGGAGAATAGAGTAACTTTGATGAGCGATAAAACGCTGTTGTTGTGGAAATCAGATCACTAAGAAAGGTGTGCCCCGGCTGTTTCGTGGTGTCGATATGTGTTGCTGATAACAGCTCAGCAGGAGGTCGTGTGTCAAATGCAACTAGTTTTGTTTCTGAGAGAAAATATTTGAGGTTTAAATTAGAAAGTGTTATTTTAACCAGTTGTTCCCTTACTCCAAAACTAGAATGCTTGGTAATGATTGGTGGACTGATGTCTTTGTTGAGCATTTCATGTTGTTGTTCAACTGACTTTTGATGTGAACTGGGTAATGAGCTTGTAAATTGAGTGAAATCTAAAGCAAGTCCATCTATACTAAAAGAGTCTGAGGAGCCATCAGGTGACGGTGCAGGCAGAGCCAGAGCCAGAGATTTCTCAGTGGACGCCGCTCTTCGATCTTTCTGGCACGTCAAACACAAGTTTGTCAGGGTGTTTGCTCTCACTGAATCTTCTGCTTTATCACTGCGGAAGATGGATTGTACAGTACCTAACTGTTGGAGAAATACTGTTTTCTCCACTCTTTGGGTTGTTTTAATGCACTGATATCATGTGTGGCTCTGAACTGTGTATGACCTTGCAGCTGCCTCTTCTTGTGATAGGAGGAGGCAGGGCATTTCAGGTTGTTGATATTTATGAGAAGACAGACTTGCTGTCTCCTAAATATCTCATTTCTATGAAGCGTGAAGGAAGTACGTGACTCTTTCCAGAAGACGTCACAGATGACCCATCGCAGATGACCCGACTTTCCGACACCCGCGGCTGATATTAGCGCCACCTCGATTTACGACTTTGTTGTTATCTCCTGTGTTTTGGACTATATAAGCCTGATGTTTTTTGCTGTTCCTTTGAGCAACATACCCCATGTGTGTGAGTTAAACCATATCCTTTGTAGTATGTGATTTAACTCTGCTCCTTCTTGCAAGAATAAATGAGTTACCTGATCATTGATTCTCAACCTGGTGTCGAGTGATTATTTTTCTAACATATTGGTCCTTCGAGCCGGATCCAAGATCTCCTTTTTTCTCCGGACAAACGAGCCTGACACTGGAGTCGAGAGACTCTCAGAAAAAGACCCCTACCTTGTTTCTCTTACAAATAAACAATTTGGTAAATAGGGGGGCCAGGTTACGCTGGAGAGGAGAGGAGTGACGGATCCTTGAACTACCGACACAGGAGAGAAAGTCAATACAGGCACCGTTTTGGTTTCAACCCCTTGGTTCACGGAAGGATACCAAAAAAGTCCTAGAAAGACACAGGTAAACTTATCTAAAGTACTTTTAAATGGTTTGTGGTTTCAAACTAGAGGCCT